CCCCAAAACCCCAAAACCCCAAAACCCCAAAAGAAAGAACTACGATTGAGCACCAAAATTCCAAACTTATCAATACCCACATCATCTCTAATTCCCATCCAGACTCATTTTTGTCAATCCATATTTTTCCAGAACCTCTTGAGCTTTCTTCTTGTTCCATTTACAATAAGTCGACCTAATCTTCACCTCTCTACTCCTCACACTCTCCACTTCCGCCAGCCCCTTCACTATATTCATGAAACTAGTCCTATCATCTCCTTCGCTCTTAAAGATCGTGCCCCAAAAATCTAAGATTTCAAAAGTTGATCCTTCTAGCTTATCTCCGAAATCCAGTTGGCCGCTGCCTTCAATGCTGCACCAGGAAATCTCCACCTTCTTCACATTTTTAGCTGCGGCCAGGAGGTCTTCGAACTCGGCCTTCTCCAAGGAAAAGTCTCGAAAGCCAGCTGCTTCAGAAACCAAGGGCAACACCTTGGGGAGGGAGGCCATGTAGGGAGATATCGAGAGAAAGGAGTTTGGAGCACGGAAGTTAAAGACTTGGATAAGGCAAGAGGAATTGGTTAAAATGTGGCCTCAAATTGAATTTGAAAGAAATTCATTCAGTAGTTCAGTGTTTTGAAGAGTTTTGTCTAAGTCAAAAGTTAGGTCTTGGAGAGGAGGCATTTTGTATGGGATTAGCTGTTTCAGCAGTTCGATGTGTTCTTTGAGATCGAGGTTGAATTTTAGTTCTGATATTTCTTTGATGTTCTGCTTCTTTTTGTTGATGATTACAGAAGTATTGTATGGCTCTAATTTATCTGAATACAATGATGCAGTTTTAAAATGTTGTAATCTTCCCAGCCAGTTCAACAATTCAATTTGGTTGTTTAGAACAAATCTCTATATTATAGTACAATGCTTCGATCTCAGACTTACCTTCATACTCTTCAAAATTTATTTGACTTCCAGAGTTAAGGTCTTCAGATTTGGCGAGTTCTTCTGTCAAAAATTTTATTTTTTCCTTGTCCTTGGCTCTCTTCTTCTCGAGCTTGGCTTTTGCCAGAGTTATAGCTTCTAAGTCTTCATTAAGCTTGTTCTTTGCTTGTTCCTGCTTTGCTCTAACCTCTCTAAAATTTAAAACAGTTTGTAACAATTCTGAGCTGTTGTTATGAATTTTATCACAAATTCTTTAAAAATAGCTAACAAGAGCAAAGCTGTAAAGACCAAACAAAGCTATCTGGCTTGTTTACTACAAGGGTATAATTCTTTATTCTAACAATAACGAAGATATCTTTTGATTGAGTTCTTACGATAAACTATTTTCTTGCTCTATCATAATCTGTTCTACATTCTCAAGTTTTTCCTTGTTATGAGTAGCTTCACTGCTTAAACTTAATATTTTCAAGTCTTGAGTCTGGAGCTTTCTCATCTGATGACCAATCTCCTGTTGCTTCTCACCTCACAGTTTACTTTTCTGTTCGTACTGTTTCTTTAGCTTTTTATGCTCTTCCTTGAGCTCTCCATATCTGGTTTCAGTAAGATAATCCTTCAGCTTGACCATTTGCCCGTTGACCCACTTCTTGGAAGCACTGTACATCTTTCTGGTCCAGTACTGGTTGTCTCTGAACTGTCTGATGCTGTCTTCTTTGCAGTATTCTTTCCAGAGACGAGACTCCAGCACAGTCTCAAGAAGAGTCCTGGCTTCAACATGAAGATAAGGGAGTCTGTCCCAGCCATTGGTAGCCTTTGCTGAAGCCAAGTCATCTACATAGGAATCAGAAAGAGTTTATGGGCATGATTAAATGGCCACTCAAAGTTTTATAGTAATTATTTGTGCAAAGTTCGCTAAATTTAAAATCGATTCTGAGTAAAATGCAGTTGAATGTGGAACTATTCAGATAAGGCTATGAGCAAAAAAAACGCTATAGAAGGTGATGTTTTTTACTTAATCAAATTACAAAAGTAAAACATGTTATAAAAATGTATTTATCTTCAAGATAACTATCCTCTTTTCAAAATTCACAGTTATCCTTCTCTCTTTCTATTAAAATAGGCAGAATTTCATAAATTTTGAAGTAAAATGGATCAAAAATAAAAATCTGGAATTTACTGTTGAGCTGTGCATGTGTATCCTTATAGTCTTTCAGTTCTGGCAAAAGTTTAATCCATAATTTGTCGAGGTTATGCCACTCCCTGAAATGGTCAATCCTCATCAGATTGTGTTCGGCTGTATCAAAGTTTAATAAAATCTTAAAAGGAATTTTTGCCAAAAGAAGTGTGTAAATTTATGAAGATTTCATAAACACAAGAATTAGAAATATCACATAAGTGGTTAACAAAATCTGGTTTATTTAGCAAGGATGTGCATATTTAGAAGTAAGAGGTCCAAGAACTTGACTATTGAGGCACCTTACTTGCTTCTAATCAGTGTAGAACGTCTCCTGGGTTAGGAATCTGAACGATTGGTTCTGAAGCGAATCTGGAGTTCAAACACTTTGAACACACAAACAAGTCTTCATTATGAAGACTTTCTGGGGTGCTCTTCACCAAAAAAGCAATTTTCTCACAATCACTAGAATATTCACACTTTGGGACTTTCATGATTATTTTAAGTAATTATTATAAATTTGCTATAATATTTATGTTATGTGGGGTTTTGGGGTTTTGGGGTTTTGGGG